CGCGATTTTCGTCCCCGTTCCGCGCTCCCTCTTGTACGAGTCTACCGCAGGTACACGCGTGTCGCGTCGTCACGACGACGAGTATGTTACCACCCGTGTAAGCAAGTACGCTGTATACGTACGTAAGTGGTGTATATACGAAGAAAAGGACGTGCGATTTGTTTCTCGCGGGACAAGCACAGCCCGACGACGATTATCGTTACCGTCATCGTTGGTCACTCGATCGGAACCGATTTCTATGTAATACCGGGTACGTTTGATTTGTCAGTTAGCGCATGCCGATATCTGTCTAATTGCTTGCGTGAGATTGCGCAATTAGCGGTAACAAAGTGAGAGAGGATATTATCGGGCAATAGGCGCGAGATCCTTGCACGTACCTGATGCAGATCGAAGGTATCGAACGACGTACGCGTTCCAAATCCGTGCATTTGCGATCTGCATCGTAATATTTTACGATGCACGTACTCGGTGTGTCAAATTTGGAACGGTAACGCTAGATGAAAGAGGAAATTCTCAAAACTACTTTGCGGTACGTGCCTTTTATCATCTGTTCTATCTTTGTTTGAGGAGACCGCGTCCTTTGATCATATATCTAGGAATGCATTTTGTGCGTTGCAGTGACGTCGATATACAATTTTGGATTGACATTTATGTAGTCAGAATTTCAAATATTCCTCCAAGCGTGTGAATCAACGCCGGCAGCGTCATCTTACGAAGGAGGATAAAGTCGTTACTAGTCGGTACAGTGTTTCCGAACCGATCTACGACGGAAATATCCGAATTGGACCGAATTTCTTCGCCGTGATATTAGCCACAACAAAAAATTGGTAACATTCGCGTAAAAACTTTTCGGCAATATATATTTTTCGCGTTCTTTTTGTGATTCACCATTGCCCCGGAGGGATTTAGTAGTCCGCCAGGCCAAGGTGAGTTACGAATTTCGTTAGGTAATTTTTTACGCGCGTTTCGTGTTGCTGGGCCGTTTCGGGCCTACGAGTGCCTTTGACGGAACGGTTCGTCGGATGTACTTACGCGTATTGTTATGACAAAATGTGCGAGTAACACGTCATGCAAAGTGTTTTCGAACATTAGGACAGGACGAATCTCCGTTGTACTTTCACGTTCCTTTTTTTATTCCTACCGTTGCTTTATCAAACGCTCACGGGCGCATCGTACGAAAGTTGCTGAATGTTTTCGGGCTTAACCTAAACGAAATCTGGTACACGGTATTCTACGCAGCTCGGTAAAATTTCGCCCCCCGTAAATATTTTGTAAACTTTGCCCTTCGTTTCACGATAAACTTGTCCCGATGCGCTTCTTTTCTTACCGATAGATAAATATTTTTCTCAATTTAACCCACGTACGCGCTTTCGTGCTCAACACGTTCTTTATGTTTTTGTAATCGTGTCCCTCAAGCTTATGTTGATATTTGCGTAATCTGCCTGTTTTTATTATTATATCGTCCCGTTTGATATAGATTAGACTGTTACATGTTATTGAAATTTATATTTTCAGCTTTCAAATTCAAGTGAAGATCATTGCAACATTGTGTGTCAACAATGGCAGATGAACAGCAACAGTTTTTTCTTAAATGGAACGATTTCCAATCTAATATGGTATCGTCGTTTAAACACTTACGAGATGAAAAAAGTTTCACGGATGTGACATTAGCTTGTGATGGTCAAACCTGTAAAGCACATAAGATGGTGTTATCTGCTTGTAGTCCCTATTTTAAATCTTTGTTAGAGGTACGTTGGTCGTCTCTAGACACACCTATTCCACTATGAGAGAGTTAACAAACGATTCTTTGTAGGAAAATCCGTCCAAACATCCCATTATAATACTAAAGGATGTTGCGTATAGCCACCTTCAGGCCATACTGGAGTTTATGTATGCAGGAGAAGTTAATGTTTCGCAAGATCAGTTGCCTGCATTTCTTAAAACTGCCGACCGGCTTAAAGTTAAAGGATTGGCAGAAGCACCAGGTGCCATTAAGAGGGAGGGTTAAAGTTGCACTTATAGTTATGGTAAGACGATCTGTTCAGATTTATTTGCAACAATGATATTTCGGTTACTCCTCGAACACATCCTACAATCCACAATTTCTACTTCCCCTTCCAGGATTTTGGGAAGCGTGCGGACTGAAAAAAAAAAAAGTGTAATAATGTAAAGTGATTGCATAAAGACATATACCACACACTATAAAAAAGAAAAAACCACACACTACGTGTGCACAACTCAGTGTCCTCTGGTTCATGACTTGGATCAACACACGGCGACAATGTAAATTATGCCTTTTCTTAATCTCAGTTAATGTTAATGTTGTATTGAATGTATGTATACAAATATGGTAGAGATGAAATGTTGATGTTTGTCTTGAACCCATTGCGCCATAATGTGGTCGCGACAACAACAATGATTATTTTTTTAAAACAAAGTGCTGCAAAAACTAATAAGTGGGTCACGATAGTTTACAATACACGGGACAGTCTTGTGGATCAAATGGAAAGGTTAAAAGACATCTTTACAACTGCTGTTTTTTAAAATGGATCTACTGACTCACTACACTTTCCTATCGGCGGTTCCACGGTAGATCTGTTCATGAGGTATTGAAATTTCTCGAGTCCGTACCAAATATTGCCTGACCAAAATCTTCTCTTATTCCTTTCCTTATTACGGGGCATAGAGCAATATTATGTTGCCATATAAGCGTAACAAGAAGTATATTCGAGAAATAACATTTTATAACTATGTAAGTGTAAGCTAACGTGTTAATAATACAGGACTGTTTTTTGCCGACACATATGCGCTGGTATTGACTTGCAAGAAATTTAGATCGTATCGTGAATGGATCTGCGATACCCCGATAATCCCATAAAAGAATGTTAAATCAAGTTTACTGGAAGTTGTAACATGCGTGTCGTATTATTGCTCTCTTTTTGTCATCTACACCGTGTCGTCTGGGTTTACCGTTTATGCACACAATTATTTCTCAATCTATCAAAGACGCGAATAAGTTGTCGAAATAAAAGTTCGATTTGGAGGGTGAAATACAAAAACGTCGAAACCAAGCAACTTTCGCGCAAACGTGTTTCTTATATTATTTTCAGTAGTGGCGAAATAACTGTGTGCGTATACGTATCATTCAGCCGAGCACGATGTACCGCGGATTGATAAATCGTGTCGTTTCTCTCACCGATGAATATTTGCAAATGGGAACGAAAGCAATTGTTTCGCACATTTTTTTTCTCTCTCTCCATTCAGTCGGTACCAGTTACCTCTTCTAGTGATCATGATTTTTTACTTAACCAAATACTGCCAGTATTTGTACCGGCGTATTCACAATATTACCGATAGACCAAATTTATTTATGATAATAATATATTAAGGGTTGAATGTCTTAAATCGAGGGAAGGTTATTGTAATATAAGCGAAGCAAATTTTTGTAAAGTCGGAGCGCACAGTTCCTTTCCCCTCCCGATCGAACCAGGATAATCAGAGAGAGGTTTAGAGAAAAAAAAAGAAGTCAGGAAACATTATCGAGTCAAGAAACAATATTGTATGCAATTAACGTGCGTCGTACACAGGAAAAAAAAAAGGACTTATCGTATCGTTTGTGATGTATATACATATATATTCACAAAAGTGTCGAGGAGCTTTTGCTACTCTCATTTTCAGTTCATATTAACACTGTGTTTCTCGCAAGCTTCTTACGAATTACGTCTTTCGCTCTAGTTATTTTTTTCCTCCTTGTTTTCCAATATATACGTATACATATATATATATACGTATTTCATTGAATTCTTGACTCTTTTTATTTTTTTCTATCTCTTTTTTTTTTGTATCGAAATTATTATCTAGCACTATGCAGTTTTCACAGGAATTACATTTATATACATTTACGTGTGATGCAATTTTTTTTAAACCTTGTATCTAACGAGCACGAGTACTTGTACGACACCGAATGCCAATTTAGGATTACTCATCCGTATCCTATGCTTAGAGCACGTTGAAAAAAAGAGAAAAACGAGAACCACGCGAACGAATTGTCGCAGCACAATCTTTTATGTTTCACGTTACCACGTCGGATGTTCATGTGAACAACGTTATAATATCGCGATTGTGTACGATTTATACTCGAGAGCCAACGAGTGACGTTCGAGCGAAATCTTCAAGACACAACGTTAACGCGGATGAGTATCGGTTCGAAAGAAAAACAAACGAACTGAGAGCGATGTATAAAGAAGAGAAAAAAAGAGAAATGCACGAAATGGGACCAGCCGTAACGAACGTCACGGTTTAAAGGTACAATTTGGAATTGACTTTTATCCAGTCTTCGTTATACAGCCATATTGTATATTCATTTCGACGCAGCATGTTCGTATCAATTTTTTACTTGTTTACTTTTTTATCAAACGAAAGTAACACCGAAAGTAAAGTCTTCACAGTCATCCGATATATGGCAAGTCGTTCACGAAGGAAAAGAAGAAAGAAAGAAAAGGAAATAGGAAAAGAGCAGAAGAAGAAAAATAAAGAAACAATGACGATCCGTGTCTGTTCACAGTATTTAAGACAGCCTTTAACATTTAAGATGGTTGGGTTCAGTTCCTACAATGACACGTTTATCGGGCATTTGGTGGTTGAAAATGCGAATCGTACCGTGTGTCTTTGCTAAAGCGTAAAAGTTGAGCTGTATACACATTTTAGAGTAGAAGATGTTATTATATATGAGTGATGATTCGAGATAAGTTCGCAACTTGTTGATAAGCCTTCCTCCATGTTTTCTCTACCGATTTACCGCTATATACTACAGGCAACACGCGTTTCAGGAGCTTCTGTAATCAGTTTTTTCACTTTGTACTCTCCCTTTTATCCGAACGAACCTATTGTTTTTTTTTTTAATTTCTTTTTCGGAGAACGACCGATTTGCGATCTGTTTGATATTTTCGCTGAATCTCTCATTCCTTTTATACTCCTACCGTTTCTCCTCCCCGCGAAAATTCTCTATTCTATTCTACGTTCATCTCGTTCAACTCGAACACACTTTCCCTCCTTTCTGATTTTTCGTTTTTTTTTTCTGCTAATTATAATGTGACTCGATGATGATTATGATTACAATATGATGATGTTGAGATATGAAAATAAATTGTGTAAATATACCATTTTCGTAAAACCGTTTGCTTTTCCCTTGCGCCTTCTTTCATACTACGGAACAGACGGAACGGTTCCTCTCGTTTCCACGAAAACACTTCACTTTAATGCAAATATACAAACGTGTATATGAAACAGTAAGAAAATGGGACGACGATTGGTATGAGAATACATATCAAAAGAACTAATAATACACGAAGAATTTCCTCCAATTTCAAATACTCATCTTTATCGCGTACAAACCGACGACATTCTTTCGTTCGTCGGTTGCGTATACTTAAAAAGAAGGAAGATTCACGTAAAAACGCAACTCCAAAGGTGATTCGAGCGGTAACATAGATCAACGTTTCATATCACTCCGCGGTGGATAATTGAACACAGGATACTTGGGAGCGAAACGATCGTTCGCACCGAAAACGTAATTCGACTCGTCGTGATCTCTGATGGTAGCTGCTGCCAACACGCACTCCTCGTAAGACGGAGGCGCTGAAACAGAGAAGAGAGGTAAATCCATTTGAAATTCGTCTTTCTTCAAATTTCTTCTGCTAATTCCTTACGTATGTCGTAGCTGGTAGACGAGATGCCGGGTTGATTAAGAGGAACGAAACTGGAAGATGCAGCTTGATCGTGAGGAGGACCGTCTACGGGATAAGGTGCGTTTGGCATTGGCATAGGAATTCGTGTCGAAGCTGCTTCTTTACCGGTGATCATGCGTGCAAGGTCTGTTTCGTCCAAGTACGGTGCTGAAGGTTGGCAATACAGCGGTACTGTTCCGATTAAGAGAGGGTAACTCTTCTTGATCTTGCAGTGTCTAATCATAAAGTAAAGGAGCGAGTGACGTTGAAGTAGAATAGGGTAGGGTGATGGAGAGAATTTGACGATATTTCACTTATGGAATCTTAGTGACTCTAGAATTTTCATAGCTGTTCGTCTTATTATCCTCGGTATTACATTATCATACTTACAGTCCAGAAACGTGAACATAGACGCTCAGTTTATAATCTAGGTCGATAATGCTGCAATATTGTAGGTTCGACGGCGGCGTAGGCGGTACCAAGATGTCTGAACTGACCTGTCCTCGAGAAGCCTGCAGACTCGAGCTTTTCGTCGACTTTATCTCGGATTCGGCGAACTTCACTTTCTTCGATGGCAAGGACGCGTAAAATTTCACACTCTTCAACGTGACAAATGAAAGAAAAAAGCACATCGAATCATCCTTCAACCTAGCAGAAAAACACCGAAGAGAAGAAAACTCACTCGTTCAAGCTTAGTGGTGATCGCCGTGACGCTGACGGTATGCGAAGAGTTCAAGTAATCGACGGTCGAGATTATCGACTGTCCAGAAACGTATCCAGAGGACGGCACGTTAACACGTAAATTCACCGATCCTTGATTGATACAGAAAAACAGACAGAAACAACAGAATTTGTGCGTTGCTTCGTCCTCGACACCTATCTGTTCGAACAACAGAAACGATCTCTATCAGTTGAAACAACGAGCGTAGGTCGCGAGAGAAATTTTCTTACGCATTTTTCACGGTTCTCGTTCAAATCGAGAGGCGAGACCACGGTGAACGCAGCTTTGCACTCGTGATTGAATTTCCACGGCCTGTCGATCACCGCTTTCACCGTGTAACGTACGCGTCCGAAACTATGCTCGAAGCTACTAGGTATATTGTTCGGTAGCTGGAAGGTGAATGGGTACATATGGAATCCGACAGGGATTTGCTCCTGGACATTAGCTGAAGAAATTCGTAACAACGGTCAATTTTTTTGTGGAAATCTCTCTCATCCGTATGTAGACTTTGCGAAGCGATATATCGGACTGTTTGCCAACGCTATTCACCGCTATTTTCTCATCGAGACAACGAGCTCTCCGAAGCTCCGTCGTCTCGGCACAAATATTTAACACCTGAACTTTGAAACGGTTTCACTCACGTTTGTTTGTTCCAACTATGTTGTACTTGAATTGGAAGTATTCTTCTGAATTGCGGTACGTCGTATGTTCCGTGGTACGTCTAGACTGCGACGTATTGCTACGGCTCTCACTTTCAGACCAGTGCACGCGAGCCTCTCCCTTAGCGTTCAAAGTTAGCCCTACGGTTCGATAGGATTGAAAAGTCGTTTCGACCAATTTGTCTCTTTTTTTTTTTTTATCGAACGAATTTCGTATCTGACGGAGATTTCACGGTGTTATCGATTTGTGCAATGTTTTTCCAAGAAAATATCTTAACGAGGTTTATCGTTCACCGTGAATCTCGCGTAATATCAATCGCTCGATGACTCCTCTTACGCTCTATCGCAGTTTATATCGCGGATAAACACCGGCCGATTCGATCAAATTTCAAGCGATTTTTTCCCAATGAATGTTACAGTTACGATCCTGAAGAGAAAATATACACTGTCGCGTTTGAGAGGATCGATCGTGAATCATCGACGGTACTCGTTTCGTCACGTCGACGCACGCGACAAAACGCGAAAAATCAGCCACCGACACAATAGAATCTTTGTGTAGTTGTTTGTACGATACATCGAACGATTGCACCAATTGGCAAGCACAGCGTCACAACAGCGGTGTCCTTGTTGGCAGCGTAATTAAAGAACACGCGAGCTTCGCGATATAAACCAATCGTTACTCGGAACACGTCACACACTTCAATTTATTTTTTATTTTAAATTCGAATAAAAATAACCAGTTCGACTTAAACGCTGATATAGATTTCCTACGATCTCCTCCTCAGTTTCAAAGGTGACAACTTTTACGATCGTCCTAAGTCTCCTATCTAAGACGATTAATTCACGAAAACTCACCTCTGACCTTCTTCTCCCTCAAGATGTCCAGGACGATTTTCCCGGTGACGGTATCGCCCGTCGTGTACGTGGCACCGGGTCGATCGAAATCGATGCGAAACGTCGTCAACGACGGCATAGCGCACGATACTGTCGTTTCACCGTGGACGAGCACGTCCGATATCCGGCGAATATGTCGCGGAAAGAGGTTCCAAGTGGGGACGACAGCGGAAGGACGTGAACCAGAGACGTGGATCATCCGGATCGCGACTGATCACTGTCGATTTTCCTGCCGCGTCGATACTCGACGCTCGAATTTTTCGTGACTTCGCGGTGAATCACGGTGGGTATCGTTCCAACGTGAATCGATAGATAAGCACGCGTGTTGTCATTGTATGCTATCGTTGCGATATCCGGAGTTCCGTGATAGTGAGGAATTGTTGTCGAAGGTAGTTGAGAATCAGAGACGATCGTTAAGTAGATGGAAGCTAGAGGTTGTACTTTGGATTTGGGGAAAAGTTGTTTTCTGTTTGAAAAGCGCGCCGAGGCGATGTTTGAAACGAAAATAAATATTAGTTTTACTCGTGTACGTTATCTATATACACGTTTATTTTGAAAATTGAATTTGTTACGTCAATATACGCATGGACTTCTTAATCTTTATCGGCAGTTAGCGTGTAATTTTTTTAATACTTCGAATGTGAATTTGTCGGACATTGAGGCGCGTTGGGCCTTTCTTTCTAAAACTACGTCGAGGGGGTGGCCTATGAGGACGAATAGGAACCCTTTCTCGGTCGATGGGGTGGTAGTATATGTGAGAAAATCCGTCCCGAAGACGGTGAAGCGAGCATCTTAAAGCCAGGCTCCTTTGGGTTTTTCCCTGGACCTGTTCGCGTAGGGGTGGACAGGGATCGGCAGGACGACACGTCCTCACTCTTCACGAGACCCTCGACGCTCAGATAACGCGTCGCCCACCGTACTCCGAGTTAGAGTACTTTCTGACATACAGTAGAGGCTCTGCGGAAGATCGGTCGAATTGCTATCGAAGGAAATGTACGGGCACCAGGAAGGCGTACTCGAGTTTCTGCGTCCATAAAACACTTTCTGGTCCCCGACGTCGCTTGGAAAGGAAAAGTAAGACAGAAAGAATTGAAATCGGAAGCCCTAAAATGTCAAACTGACCCCTACTGGTCACTAATTACCTACAAAAGAAAAGAAGAGACCAAGCCACAGAGAATATTTCGAAAACCATTCTCCTCTCTCCCACACAGTGCTACCGAATCGCACATTCTTCGCACGATAAGTTTTCTCTTTAACGTGGGAGTCGCGTTAGTAGGCGACGCTCGACTCGACACAACAGCGAGCGTGATTTTCCGCTTTGGAAATGGCCGTGTCGAGTTGGACGTTTACCTGTTGGACGTGTTTGCCGAAGTTCCGACCGCAGGGACGTTCCGCGAACAGTTACCTCGTGGCGCGAATTCGAGCGCAATCTCGGTGAACGTTTACGGTGTGTCGTCTCGGGCCATCGATTACCCTAAAGGGACCGTCGCCGGGGTTGGCAACTGTCTGCGGTTTTACACGGGAATCCAATTTCCCCTGGGTGAGTCGCGTGTGCTTCCAAGCCTTCCCTCCAATCAAATTTTGCTATGTGCACACCGTGTCAGAGGGCAGTGTTCCGATGTCGTCCACATTTTTCCATTCCTCGGGATTGCTTCTAGGTACCTCCTGTAATTCGCTCCTTGCTCGCGTTTTCTCTCTCGATAGTTGAGCTTTCTTCTTATTTTCGGTGGCCGTTTCGCGAGGAAAAGTAGGACGTTTAACAGGGGATGTACACCGACAAAAATTGTTCGAGTGCGTCGCAGGACATGGAAGGGACGATTGAATCTCGCGACATTCGTTCATAGCTGTCTCTACAGAAACGATCTATCGTCATCAACGTACGAAAGTTGGTGAAACATCGACGGTCGCGAGTCTTCGATCGGTACAAAGCAATCAAAGTATCAGCGGGGAATTTACACTATCGATTACACGCGTATCATTTCCCCGACTTCCATTAACCTTCGTGCTCAAACAGTCTTCCCTTCGAACTTTATCTCTCTACATAATCGATGCATCGACCCCCGAAGAAAAGAAACCTCTTCGACACGTGACATTTGCCTCGTCACTGCCACTTTTTTCCACTCTCTCTCTCTCTCTCTTCGAGGAGAGGAGAATTGACCGTCAGGTGGCGACCTGACCAGGAGATATCCCGCGAAAGCACGCAGGCGAAATGGATCGAATTGATAAAGAGACACACGTGCGAAGAGAAAGAAAGCCCCGGGGACTGTGAGGGTGGGAGGTCGAAGGGTGAGGGTGAAGTCGCTGGCGGGGGCGGAGATGGCGGTCCGTGTGCTCCAACCCCTCAGTAACGCGGCAGCCTCTGTCGTGGAGGCAGCTCGATGTTCCTCCGCATCTGCGTCGCGAATCGCGTACCTCTCTCCCTCTTCTTCACAGTCGTCGCTCAGGTGTGCACAGGTGATCGTTCGTCTCTCGTGGAATCGCAGAGATCGAGAGGGAATCGCTGCCAATTAAACGGAGAACCTGGAAATCCTGATCGAACATCTCGCACCGTTGCGATCAACAGGTTAATTCTTCTCGCTAAGGAAACCGGGGCAAACCGGTGAGTCTCTGTGGCCTCTGATCATTCTTTCTCCGGAATTTCTTTCGGGGATATTGCGCTTTTCCACGTTTGCAGTGCACTCGGTTGCGCGTGCAACACGGAGGGATTTAATCGAGGGAGAATGGAAAATTGGTTCGCGTTGGTTCTTAACGGTTAGTTGTGTGTCATTTTTCATTTGCGAAATTTTGCAAGTGGAGAGTCGGGTGTCTCGGTGCCGCTCTACGTTTACGCGCCATTGGTAATTATTTCGAAAGTAGTAGAATCCCGTCCGGTATCACGATGCACGTGCGTACTTGTAATTAATATCGATTTCAAGCGGTTCGAAAATTAATTCGCCAAGATGAAAGGGAAACGGAGGCTGCACGAGATACATATTAATTTCGCATTTGCGCGAAACGTTGCCGCGGTTTGTCGGAATTACCTGCCCCTGGCCGGGTTGTATTACGGCTTTTTCCGCTAACGCTTCGAAAATAAAACAACCTGCCGCCAGTGGAAAAAATTCTATTCCTACAGCGAGACGTTTTTAATTTGCACGTGTTCTCCCCTCGTCGCTTTCGAGTTACCACGTTGCTACACTCGACGTTCGATCCAGGAGATAATCGATCGACGATAGGCGGTTCGAGTCGTTGGAAAGTTACGATCGCTTTACTTAAACCACAATTCTTACCGCATTCCCGGCTTATGACGTTTGCACGAGAGGCACGAACGAGGTGGTGGGAAAAAAGCAGCGAATCGGGAGACGAGGTGAAACACGTGCGGATGGAAAACGAGGCGTTTAACGAGTGGTCGTTTCCAGGTGAGCTCCAAGTGTCCAGCCGGTCTTTCCGACGAATCCACGTTAACCAGACTGTCTCAAGATCGGCGGGCCGAGGAAGAACGGACGTTGAAGCGAGACCGAACGAGGCTCTCTAACGGAGATGAGAATTCAATCCTGTTCCGGAGGTTGTGGATGGAAACTCGAGGTGATCCAAACGAACAACAAACAGTCTCGCGTTTCATCGTCGCAACGGGGGTGTACAATGAGCCCAGAGGAGGCTTCTACCTTTCCCCGGTAGATTGAAAAAGCGAAAGAGAAGGAACAGGACGGAGAAGAGCGACGAGGGGAAGCAGAGAGGCTAGAGTGTATTCATCGACTCATCGAGCAGAGATGGCGACGAACAGTCCCGGACAATCGATACATCTGAAATCCCCGCGGAGTCCTCGTCAGCTACCGCAACTGCCTCAAATCCCGATCGGAGGCCAGAGAAGTCCCACGCAGCTCTCTGTTAGCAAATCGCCGAGCACACCGTTGGTCTTCGAGTTCCCCCCCGAATACTACCCAGAAACGCCCAACACGAACTTCGACTTTGAGGAATTCGGCCGAGTTAACGAGCCGGACAGAGGAGAGCCTAGAAGTCCCGGGTACTACGTTCGCCAAGGATGCAGAAGTCCGAAGAGCCCCAACCCTGACCTGTTGCACTCTCCCGGCAGAAAGTCGCCGATATTTCAATTCTGCGAGACGAGAAAGAATCTCGGAAAGACCATGAGCTATCCGCCTAGAAGTTCTATACCTATATCGCCCGCAGCACCGACCAGATCACCAAGCGCGTCGAGTTTCGGCTCGAAGAGCCCTCGTAGAAACTCTTGCTTCGGTCTGAGCGGTTCCAAGAGTCCTATGTCACCGACGATCGTCGCCCCTCTGAATCACGGATTGTCCAACGCGAAGCACTCCGAGATCAGTTTGGAACAGCTGAACAAAGCGAACTACAAGAACAGCGTTGGATCGAGGCCGACGTCTGTGGAAGGAGGATCCTT